TTTATATTACTAACAACCAGAATAAATTTGAATTACCAAATCTATATTGCATTCCAAAACTTCTAAAGAAAACTTACAAACAAATATACATAGCGGGTTCCAGTAAGTCCATGCTTTTTTATACAGTGAAAACTGTCTAATCCGACACCTGAATAATCTGACACACTGTGAATTCCGACGTTAGATGTATTTCCCATTTTAGTATTTTCTTTGTTTTTAACTCTGTGCAATCCGACACCCTGTCTATTCCGACACAAAATTTATCTCCCAGTGTCGGATTAGACAGGTTTCACTGTATATCAATCTACAGCTGCTTTTTCAATAAAAATGGAAAATTTTTCTTGTCATTTGCAAAATTATTTTGTTAAAAACATTCTAATTGTACACACAAGCACTCCCAAGTTGGTATTAAAAAGATGTTTGTGTTTCTGATTGACAAGATCTTTGTGGTTTTTGGAAACCAGGTCCTCCAACAATCTAATTTACTTCCCAAATAGCAGACAGATTGTGAAAACAAGAATATCATTCAGTAGTTTTTTTAAGTCACCATTTCTTAAGTCTATGGTCAATACAATGACCTTACAGCTAATACAATTATCATTAAATCAAATGATAACACGAGTTTTTCCTGCTATTTTTAGACCATTATATACTCACTGAATTATCGACAGATTTTTCCTTTATCATCCCTTTATCTACGTTCTGACGAGCAGCATTCCATATATATAAGTTGGTTATTCTTTCGATGTTATTTATAAGTAAAGAATAAAGAGTATAATTAATTTATATTCGGACGAACGAAGTGAGGGAGAATATAATAAACATTATTAAAATACCACTTTTGACCAGGAGTTGAATAGTTTAGTGGTTAGCCTGTGAACATTGAAGGCAAAATATACTGAGGATTTTATTGCTAGTATTCGAACCCCACGAATAAAACATTTAAATAAAAGAATAATTGTTGCTGAAAAAATTTCTCAAAATTGTTTACTCTGAAATCACAAATTTTCGTTGAAGCTTAATTTTCGTTGTTTTCGAGGTATGGGGAGACCCACGAATTCATGTCCACCACGAAATGTAAAATGTTATATATATAAGTACTCATTAATTCTTGATCTATGAAATCAAATCCCCACGAACCAAGAGATTTTTCTCAAACAACGAAAATTTGAATCCACGAAAATATGTGATTTTACAGTATTCATCAAAATTTCATAAATTTCAATGATGAGATCTTAAATGGACAACAACTTCTTTCCTTACTTGTACGATTCGGAAGACGGAAAAGTAAAATTCCAAAGCTGAGAGTAAGTTTTTCCATCAAATGCTATTACAAAGGAATTGAACATAGACATGATGATATCTTCCTCACCGTCTCCATTCACGTCAAGTAAAACAGGCGGTGTCATCACACCCTTTTCTTGATCAAAGAAAATACAAATTGCCTACAATAAAATTTTATATATGTTAAAGAAAAAGTTTACGAATAGTGAAAGTACAAGCATTTATATTTCCATTGATTTCGAAATAAATGTGTATGAATTTTAATTAAGAAACATCAAATATCTAGAACTTTTATGCTATATTAAAAAAAAAAATGCTTACAGTGTTGTTTAAAATTTTTCTTAACACTTATATGGATTATTTCTCTGAAATTTTTCCTCGATGTTTTCCAATAATTATCCGTTTGAATTATTTTTTACATTAATTTTCATTTTAAAAAATGTAGTTTATTAATATTTTTTACATTAGTAGGTAAATTAACATTCTCCTTTAAACGTGCATGAGCTACTTTTGTGCTATCCACGAAAGGTAATGATTAGCTGAATCCAAGAAATTATCGGAGAGTGCAGATTCAAGTACTACAGGTATACATGCATTCCATTAACTTCATGAGACAGCTTGAGGAGGCTCATTACACCCACAGTTTATTCTAGTTTTCATTACAAAATCACTTATAATGTAGATGTCAATTATCCAAAATGGGGGTTATGATATCATACATGTAAATATTATATTTTAGTGAATTTTTTAAAGCTTTTCTCAAATTTTAGTAAATTATTTCATTTCAAGCTTATTATCAATAGAATTGCAGAAATTTCAGTCTCAAGTATAGGGCATCTTCTTTGGACATGTATACAAAATGATAATACTTTATAATATTTAATATTATTTTTATTAGAACAATTAAATAGTTTCCTCATGAAAAATAATTCATGTCATTTTTCTTTTTAATCTTTGCAAGAATAATTTGGAAATTGAGTTCTAAAGAGACAAGGAATGTATTTCAATGAATAAAAGGTGACAAATTGAAAGTAGAATGGTTTTACGAAATGAAAATTCCAATTTAAAAAATATTTGGTATAAGAAGTCCACCTGCAAGAGTTATCTTTCCTAATTACCCAAGACTCAAAAGACAAAGTAACGTCTGAACATTACATGTACATCTAAAATTCAGAATAAAGCTTTGAATTTCTCGAATTTATATTTCAACAAAGACAAGTATATAAATCAACACAAGTACTGTAAATAATGCAAGTAAATTATTTTTTTTTAATTTCAGCAAGGTTGTAGATTTCAACTCGAATTTCCTCCAAACACACATGTCACACATTGATAGAACTCACCGCTTTCGCTATGACCTATGACATTGCACATTTCTTGTTAAGAGATGATTTGGCTGTTCTTTTTGGTTTTTACTTAAAACAACCATTCTTCTTTTATAATTAATTAATTTATTTTGTTTCCATTCACTGTTTACACGTACCGCATGTTCGATCTTTTTTAAAGCGTTTCAAAGATATGGGTCATATTATACGGGAACCTGTACAATTCGTCCACAGAGGAAAACGGACGATACAATTGATGCTTATTTTTTGTGTAGTACGTCATCAAAAAGTGGTGTTATGAGCCTCCTTAAACAAGTTAATTCACTGGATCTCTTAATGTATTTCTATAAGTCTGCCTTGCTTTCGACTTAACTCTACTTTGAAGGATCGGAAAAGACATTTTGATTGATTTTTCCTTTATATAAAAATGTATGTCCATTCGCTCTAATTCGAAAGCTATCAGTCGCCCGTGAAGGCTGTAATTCAGACCTACAGTGATAAGCATTAATATTAGTGATGTTAACGTTGTCATGTTGTAAATCTTAAATTTACTGCCACCAAGTAAATTCATAATCTACGACATTTAGTGATCAACAGCACAATGAAATGATTTATTATGAGAAATAATGATACTAGTATCTTTATTTTACTTGGAAAACCAATTTACTCCCTCATTTTTACTTTTTCCAGTCGGCGATAGAACAAATCATTGATATTGATTAGCCAAAGACCCCCTCCATGTGTCTCTCCTCCTGTCCCGAACATAACAAGTTTTGTCCCGTCTGTTCTAGTAAGGACTTGTGGTGAGTAGTAAGATTCTTTTTCATCGGGCACTCCTGACCAGCTGAGAACCTTCCCTGATTTCCCACAGAAGAAGATTATTCGACCAGATAAGCGATGTTGACTACCTGTCCAAAAAAAAAAATCGTTAAGCTGTCCAAGAATTCAAAAAGAGTTCGTTGATTGTTTTATTCATTCAAGAGAGAGAGAGAGAGAATGCGATCGTATATTTTCCTAGGTGATTATACCCTAATACTTGAGTTATCAAAAGTCTATCGGAAAAATCTGGGCAAAGGTTGATTTTTTTGTATGTTGTTTTTGTGTATTTTCATTTCCCAACTTTTATGCATATTAAGTTAAAAAAACAATAATTATTTTATAAGCATTGTCATTAGAAAATCTCTTTGATACATGTATTTGGCTAAATAATAATAATGATAATAATAAATCAACAAGATGTATTTAATTGTGAAACACTATGCATCCGGTGGCAACAATTTCGAAAAAGCTGTTTTTAGCATATAGGTCACAGTCAAAGTCACAAGGTCATTGACCTTGGTGTCATTTGAGTTTAATTAGTAGAGTATGCATGCTAAATATGATGTTGCTATCACGTATGGTTCAAAAGTTATGGCGAAAATTAGAAAAAGTTATTTTTAACATATTTGTCCAGGTCACAAGGTCATTGACCTTAGGGTCATTTGAAAGAACTTAATTAGTTGAGTATGCAAATATGAAGTCTTTATCTCCTGTGATTCAAAAGTTATGGCGAAGGTTAAAGTTGACAACAGACAGACAGGACAAAAACAATAAGCGCCTCGGATCTATCGATCCACGCGCATTCACAGGCACTTATTTCGGGAATAAATTTTAATCCATAGTATAATAATAATAATGTTATTATTATACTATGGGTCAAAAATTTATTACAGAAACAAGTGCCTGTGGTTCATCCACATACTTTTAAATTTTGTGCAACTGTCGCAAAACGCAAAATGGAATTGTTACATTCTGCTTTGATATCGAAGAAATTGTAACAACGCAAAATGCAACTAGTGCTAATTGTAACGGGGACCGTTACAGATGTTCCCCAAACGCTCCCGAACTCCCTTTTGGTGCCATATTCCCTGTAAGCTTCATTAAATAATACAAACACTATGCATTTGAGACTTTAACAACGTTTACCCAGAAGTATACGATGTTCATTCAGATTTTAGCATTACACGCGTGCGCATGTGGATGCATGTGCATAATGACCATATCATCTTGTCTACACAATCTATATATTATAATATACTAAATATTAAAGACTTAGTATTTAATCCAAAAGTATTAAAAAATACGCTCATTCAAGTGTATTTTTGATTTTACTCATTTCACGTGCATGCACGTGCATGCATGAGCATGTGGTGACCATACCTTCTTGTAGAAGTCCATTACATCTATCTATGTTCTAAATCACATCCCGTTTGGTTGAAAACCAAGGGAGTTATAGCTGTTTAAAGTTTCAGCCAATCAGATTGCACAGCACGTGCATGCACGTGTTTTCATGATAATTTGCTGTATATCATTTTGTAGGATATCCTTATGTATGGCTATGTTAAAAATTTCAAACGATTTCGTAAAAAAACAAGAGAGATATTGAGACTTTAGTTTCAGCCAATCAGAGCAAAGAGCACGTGCATGCGCGTGAGATCTTGCTATTTTGACCATGTCATCTTGTCTATGCTACTAATATATCCTTATATAATGAGTTTCAAAGCATTTCATCAAAAATTGAAAAAGTTACTGCTATATTCATTATATTGGTCGTTTCATGTGTTGCACGTGCGCGCTCTTGCAAGCACGTGCGCGCAAAATGACCTTCGTTCGGCAAATCTGCATAACATGTCTACTGACCCTAAAAACATTTCACCTTAGTCGGATGTATAGTTTACGAGATCATACGCGGACAAAAAAGTGCCCAGGAAGAAGAAAAATAATAATAACTAGAGCAAAGCTCGTTGCAAAGCAACGAGTGGGTCTTCCTTCTTAGCGATAAGCAGAAAGTGAAATGTTTCAATTGTCAAGTTTGCTACCATTCTTTATTTCTTTGACTCAAATAGCAAAAACCTTTCCGGGTTAGAATAGGTCCTCAGTACCCTCTTGCTTGTCGTAAAAGGCGACTAAATGGGGCGGTTCTTCGGATGAGACCGTATAAACCGAGGCCCCGTGTCACAGCAGGTGTTGCACAATAAAGATCCCTCCCTGCTTAAAGGCCATTAGTGCCAAGCATAGGCCTAAATTTGCAGCCCTTCACCGGCAATGGTGACGTCTCCATATAAGTGAAATATTCTGGAGAGGGACGTTAAACAGTAAACAATCAATCAATCAATTATACTGTAAAAATACAAATATTTACACACATTTATAACCTTAACTATTAGAACTGGTATGTCTTCTCTTGGAAACGGAAGACCTCAAAACAGATGTTTACATGCAAGATCTGACACATACTTAAAAAGAATATTTATTCCAAACTAAAGATAGACTCTGTAACAAAATCTATTTCTCTTGAAAAACTGAAAGCAATTGATTTGTTCATATTTGTGGATTTATGTCTGTTTCTCAAATCAAAATTTAAATATGAATATTTAAAGTCAATATCATAAACTAAGACAGACTGATTCACATGAATGTTTCAATTTCATTATGCTGTTTATTCCTTGTCATCCCCCAACAGATGCTCTTCTGGCAAATCATGATCGTGCTTGGAATCAAATTTCAGTACTCTGATGACAGTCACACCTATCAAAAAGGAATTGAAATTTTTTATTGAATTTTTTTTAAAAAGTGCAACTTATACACTGTTATAAGATAAGATAAACCATCAAACTGAGTTCAAAGATACTGTCACATTTTCCGGTAGTCTATAATCATTTAAAAATATAGGTTTACAGGCAGTCATTTGAGGATGTTATAAAATAACATATTAGTTCTTCATGATTTCAAATAAAGAAAATGTACATTACTTGTTCATATCAAAATTTATTAGGAATGGTAATGGTTAACAGTTGTTAACCGACTAATTAGCCAAAAAGATGGTATCCAGTTATGATTTTTTTTATGTGTCAGGATAAGACCATTCGTAAAGGTGTTACAGCAATTAAGAACAATGCGCTAATGAAGTGACAAAACGCTATTGCATATGGAACAAAGAGCTAGCGCAAAGTAACAATGTGGCTCTAGCTCATTTATAACACCATGCTAGTAAGTTTATGACAACATTCTGGCCAGTTTAAGACACTTACAAGGCAGAATGAAGTAAAAATGTGCTACAACACTTATGACGATGGTCTAGTGTGTTTATGACAACACAATGACAATGTACTTGTGCATTGTAACAATGTTGCAGCAGGCTTTTACACCGCACAGTCAAGATTACATGTAATAGATTGTGTAAAGCTGTGTTGGCATGGCAGCATATTTTGTGTCAGCACAACTGCATGTTATTTTAAGTTGCCTTAGCCTGACAGTGTTGTGAACACTGTGTTAGCACATTGTTCCTAAACATGCTGAAGCACTTTTACAATTAGCCTTATCTGGACACCATAATTTTCATAACCAACTAGCTATGTTTTTTTGTAAAAGTACATGTACCAGGGTACATGTAAATCATTTTTTTCATTTAGATTTCCATATGTTTTAAAAAGACAAGGAATAAAATTCAATTTTCGATAAGCTTCTATTCATTATAAGTGTTTGCCAAAGCATTTTTTCCTATATAACCAAAATACATCTTTGTCTTTATGGTAGCCTAGTGGTAGGGCATTCCCTTTATATAATCCAGTAGCCTTTTTCACAAAAAATCTTAGGACTAAGACCAAAATTTCATAATTCTTTTCTACACATCTAAATTGCAGTAAGCCACTCAAAATCTTATATTTCTATTACGTAACAGTGTATGGTAAATTATACTTAAGATATAACAAAGTTTTTTTATTAAACAAAGGATTTGCAGAGATGTCACATTTTAATCTTAGTCGTAAGAATTTTTGTGAAAAGGGCTACTGAAGTTTAGCTTGATTTCTAGCCGGGCTCATTGCTACGAAGTTCAACAGGAAATGCTGCTTCATCACTGATGCTTAATCAAAGGATGATGTGACATAACTGCTATCTGGGGCCCTTTTTCCACGACGAATTATATTTAATATACAACAATGTTGGTAGTTTTCAAACATAAGTGAATAAATATGACGCCTTTCGAATAGTTTCAATAGTTCAGGCACATTTTAATTATAAGGAATACTGCATTATCTTTGATTTTTTAGACCCTATCACAGCTAAATTCGGCCAGGTTTGTGCGAATATTTTCTTTTAAGGCAAGAGAATGGGCGGGTCTCAGTACAATAGTGGGATATGCGTGTCTGAGAAGACCTTATATGGCTACTGTTATCATTTCGCACCTTTTCATTGACCAATCCGATGACAGAACAACAAAACATGCTGGTTTACTACGCTTACATTTTATCAGAGACACGTGGTTTAGGTTTATATTTACCTGTTATCTTTTTCTACATTCAAACTTTTATAATGGTCAGCCAATGCTACTTATACTTAATAATACGCATGGATTTTCAGCATTTACGGTTTTTAGGGCAAAAAATGCACATGAAAATTGTATTCACCGATACTCGGAAATACGTGTAGAACTAGCAAATTGCTCACCAAACACGCTACAAAACTTTAAACTAATGTATATCATGTATATTCTATCAAATGCTTGTAACTGTACATATAAATTTTATTGTGGTCTAGGAAATGGTACATATGTAGACCCGTGTCTAATCTGTGACTTAAATGCATAAAAAGATATCGAAAAGCAGTAAAATTCCAAGCATGTTGCCATAGTATTTTTGTGGTACTCACTCGTAACGAATTTCATATAGCTGATTGGTCAGTTAGAAAGTATCGCCCGTGCCTCGATTAGCATATGAATTCATTCTTACGTCAGAAAATCTACTTCCGTCGATCTGTTTATAATGGGAAAGGCCAACTATATTTTACAATTTTTTTAAAAATAGCATGTGAGCGCAATTAGGTACAATTTTCTCCTTTCACGTATAGGTAGATTTCAATAAAATACAGTGACCAGACAAAGGAGAAAATTGTACTTATCTGCACTCGTATATTTTAAGGGCTTCAAAGAGTGGGGGGGGGGGTTAAAATGCAATGGGAATTGAATGTAAACATGTTAACCCTACCCCAATAAAAGACCTATATCTATTAAATCACGTTTCTATTTTTGTTAAAAATAGTATTCTATACAGGTACACATATCAGTGATTAGTTACATACAAAAATTTGAGTAAAATTTAGACATTTAACTTTTTGTCAGTATACGAGGGGCCACAAGTCACCTCATCCTTTACAAGTTAAAATATAGTACATTTGGGCAATCAAATTTGAGGCAAATTTGATTGCGAAATTTGAAATTTGAATCAAAACTTTTTAATACTTTATGTATGCCATAGAGATTTTTTTGTGGATTACATATCCTCTCAATGCCTGAATTTGTTTTTAAACTCTCATCACGGTCTTTGTTCATTACCCTGTAAATGAGCCCAGCTTTCAGTACTTCTGAGTACTTTGATTATTCACTGTATCAAACCTAAGACAAAAACATGATGCAGTAATGTTACTTAACCATGCACCCAGCATTTGAGGTGAATGAGACCTTAAAAACCTCATAGTACATGTTAGGACAATGTCACTGAGTTCCAAATAAAGGTCTAAATAAAAAATATTCACCGGTATATATTAACACCTCCAAATGAGTGAAGGAGTGAAAATTCTCAAAGAACATTACCAATCAAAGTACCAATAATAAGCTGATTCTTACATCACAGGTTCCAATCCCATAGCTAAATGCTTCAGACGGGTTACTCCAATGAGACCGCATACACCGAGATTCAGTGTCAAAAGGATCCCTTACTTCTCAAAGGCAATACGTGCTGAGTACAAGTCTATATTTGCAGCTTACTATCCCAAGTGGTGGCATCATCAAATGACTGGAAAATGTTTGATAGGCCAATAATCAAACAAACCATTCCTGCAGTCATCTAAAAATAAGCAAACTTTCTATTATTACAATTGTTTTTACAAATTTCTTTTGAGATTTAACTGAGCAACAATTGTGCAAATTTTTGTCAATAAATTTTGATACTTAAGACTTTGTTTGAACAGCTATTTATAGCAATTACAGACAGCAGCACGAAGCGCTGCTCATAGTGCAAGCTCTCATGACAACGCCTTGGCGAAGAGAAAATTATCACTTGCTTATTGATCCACACAATTTCTTTTCCGCAGTAACTTTGGACCCACAGTGCTTTGATTCTTTAAGCTACATTCTTGCAAGAATTGATCAAAAGTTTCCAAAAAATAAATTCACCTTGATTCAATGGATAAATTGCAGATAAATAGTGGGGGAAAAAAATTCTTCATTAAAGTCAGCACTATTCAAGATTTAGACTGGTAGTGTAGGCCTAACTTACACCACGACATCGTGTGACTTCAAAGTCTAGTGCCCTATTCACACGGAGAGTTTAATTCGCAGTAAATGATTGCAAAGTAAACTAATGCGAATCAAACTAATGGGAATCAAACTGTGTTAACATGCCAGCTAATGCAAATTAAACAAATGCGAGTAAAAATTTTACTTCTACAGTCAAGTGTCAGTAAGGCTATCCGCTCAAAAATAGCACAATTAAGTACTAAAAGCTTACCACCAACATGTAGCATTTGAATTAATTTTGCCATTACACATGCCTCAAAATTTAATTCGAATAAGCTTCCCTCTGTGTTCACATGGAGCTAATGCAAAGTAATTTAATTCGCAGTAAAGTAATTCGAATTAATAAAACTAATTTGAATTAAACTCCCCGTGTGAACAGAGCATCGATGCACCAAATATCAAGTGCGGTTTGACAAGCCCGATCTAAATTAAAACTGAATAAGTATCTGCCCTCACCCTAACAGTCACACCGTCAACATATTGTTACGGTGTATATTCAACAAATAATAAGTGTAGTGTGAATTACCCCTCCATGGTTACTGCGGTATTGCTCTTTTGCAGGGCAAAATAATAACGTTTGGCAAAGTTTTTGTTGAGAGATAATTAAATGACGTATATTTAACAATTACTTATATGTCATATTTCACCAAACTATATCATTTTGCCCTGCAAAAGAGCAGTACCGCAGTTACCGTGAAACGATCTATAAGAGTATCACTATGATGGATAGTGGAGTGTTGAATTTTTTGTTTTGAAAGTGAGTCTTGTTGATATTAAATACTCACATATATTTAAATAAAAAATAAAAAGCTCTTGGGATTTTAAAAGGCTAACAGAAAGCGTCTGAGCCTTAAAACAGATAATGTATCGGTTCTAAAAATATCAATGCTCTAAGCTGCCATAGTAATTTAAATTTTAGGTAAAATAAATTTCTAACCTTCATTCCGATAGTCCACGCCAATCAAACTTTAAAATGTCACCGTTGACTCTTTCATCACTCGATACATTTATCACTGGGAACCACGAACCAGAGTCAAGAGTGCTCAGCTTGTTAAAGTAACAATCGGAATTTCCTCGTAAACAATTCACACAAAAATTTATAAATCGGATAATTCTGCTGAAAATAATGCTCCAGAGGATCGATAAAGTACTTCGTAGCTGCAGATTAAATGTGCGTGCATGTCTACATACGGCCTGTGGCTTGTGTGGTAAGATTAATGCTCAACTTCACATGATTTCCAACTTTCAGTTTGTAAACATGTGTCCGACTTTTGGGACACACTAATAACCGGATATACGAAAGACCTGATATTTACCTGATGTTTTTATTTTAGATTAAATGAAAATATTGAGTACTTCAAATGACTCATTTAAATACTTTATGACTATGATGCATAATGCTATACAAAAATTCGTTTGTTTGGAATATTTACTGACGATTTTGAATCAGGTCAAATAAGGTTTTTAGTATATCAGGTCTTTAGTACCTTCCCATTTCCCACAATGCCGCGCGTTGTTTACAAACAAGAAGCCCCGAAAAGACTTCCTCTTAACTAATGCATAAATATTTTGATTTTACTTATTGCCATGTACATCATCACATTATATTAATTATTTGAATAAAAAGAAAACAGAGAAACACCGAATCAAAACAATATCTTTCATATGCATCAACGAAAACTATGCAAGAGGCCCAGTCAAGGCTTGGCTTATAGTAGACAACTTGTTCCTGTAACGTTTCTCACATATTTGTTTTATAAAAAAACTATTAAATATAGCTTGAAGCTTATTTCTCTTTATATCAAACGACAAGATTTAATCAGTTCGAAACTATTTCAGTCAAACTTTTTCATAATATACCAATATTTTTAGCTATCAGAAAAAAACTTGTATGAGCTATTAACCCCTAATTATAGGGGCCAGCCCCCTTTCCTTGATCTTATATGAAAGCTCTCGTAATTATGCACAACTTTTGTTCTATATTTCTTACCAAATTATTCTCGGTTCAAAAGTTATTACACAAAAAAAAAGCAAAATTTCATGGGAAAAAAATACTAAAAATTGCCGTCACATAGCTTCCGATCTTTAAGAAATCAGCTTATAATTTTATCGATATGCACATCTACAATGTATTGGCTACAAGTTCTCAAACTTTCATGTAATTATCATATGTCGTTTTTGAGTTTATTAGTGGACACGAGACATCAAAATTATCAATTAAAGGGCAATAACTCACAAAGTAAGGCATGTATCAAAAAATTGAAAGCAGATGTAAATAGGTGTTAATACAAGGTATCTAACCTGAAAGTTTCATAAAAATCAGTCGAAAGGTCTTTGAGAAATCGCCTGTCAAAAATCCGGCGGGGAAAAAAAAGCAAATAATAATAAGAAACAGTAGAATAGTAGGGTCTTCCCAGTAGAACAGTAGAACAGTAGGGTCTTCCGAAGGAAGCTCGGAAGACCCTAATAACTAGGGCTAATTGTAACGGGAACCGTTACAGATGTTTCCCAAACGCTCCCCAACTCCCTTTTGGTGCCTTATTCCCTGTAAGCTTCATTAAATAAGACGGACTCTATCATTTTTAGACTATAACAATGTTTCCCAGAAGTATATTCAGTATATTCAAATTTATGCATTGCACGCATGTGCATTTGAATGCATGTGCGTAATGACCATATCATCTTGTCTACACTATTTATATACTAGAAATTACAGTGTTTTATCCAAAAGTATTAAAAAATACGTTTTAATCTAGTGTATTTGTAATTTTACTCATTTCACGTGCACGCACGTGCATGCATGTGCATGTCGACTGTATCTTCTTGTAGGAGTCTGTTATATTTGTCTATGTTCTAAATCCCATCCTGTTTGGTTGAAAAACGAGGAAGTTATAGCCATTTTAAGTTTAAGCCAATCAGATTGCAGCGCACGTGTATGCACATGTTTTCACGACAACTGTTATATATCATATTGTAGGACATCCTGATGCATGATTATGTTAAAAATTTTAAAGCATTTCGTCAAAAATTAAAAAAAGATATTGCGATTTTTGTTTCAGCGAATCAGAGCAAAGCACACGTGCATGCACGTGCATGCATGTGCATGACGACCATACCTCCTTGTGGGAGTCCATTATGTTTGTCTATGTTCTAAATCTCATACTGTTTCGTTGAAAAACAAGTGAGTTATAGCCATTTAAAGTTTAAGCCAATCAGATTGCAGCGCACGTGCATGCGCGTGTTTACATGACAATTGTTATATATCATATTGTAGTACATCCTAAAGTATGCCTATATTTTAAATTTCATAGCATTTCGTCAAAAAACAGAAAAGATATTGAGATTTTTGTTGCAGCCAATCAAAGCGAAGCGCACGTGCATGCGCGTGAGTTCGTGCTAATTTGACAGTGTCACATTATCTACACTATTAATATATCCTTAATAAATGAGTTTTAAAGTATTTCATCAAAAAATGTTAAAGTTATGGCTATATAAAGTATATCCGTCATTTCACTCATTTCACGCGCCCGCACGTGCATGCGTATGCGTGCAAAATAACCTTCGTGTTGCACACCTACACTACACACCTATTAACCCTAAAAAGGTTTTAGCTCAGTTGGGTGAACAGTTTCTGAGAACACTCGCGGACAAAAAAAGTACCGGAGAACAAAGAAAAAAAAAAAAGAATAATAACTAGATACGATCTCGTTGCGAGCAACGAGTGGGTCTTCCGTTCGATTCTTAATGAGATAAGATCAGATTCTGATTGAGATTTTCGTTCTAAAATAATGATTTTCCATAATCTGTAAAAAGACTTTGAACAATAAAGACTTCTAAAATTGACTTTTGGCACCTCACGGCCCCTAAAATTAGAAATCAGCCATTTTTTCTTCATATCATTTTTAAGCCTACGATTATAAACACTTTTTGTTCAACAACTATTCAGAGATTCTTTTTCGTTTTCGAGTTATTTGCAAAAGAAATATTTAGGGGCCAACCCTTCAACTCCCTAATGGGGACGTTTAGCGAAAAATGAAAGGTTGCATATTGTTCAGAACATGATTTTGAACATCTTTTGTTCAACATTACTTGGTCAAAATATTTCTCACTTTCGAGATATAAAGCGTCAAAGATTTAGCATGCTGGCCCCTTGTAGCCCCTAATTATGTAATATACGACATTAAAATCATAATATACAGTTGTAGATTGTTGAGATAAACATTTTTGCTTCAGTTATGTATTACAAAATATTAAACTCCTAAAGAGTTATAGATTTAAGACTTTAAGCCCCTTTTGGCCCCTAATTTGAGTGCCAAGCCCTTTTTTCTTGGTTTCATCTTGAAGCTCTTAAGATTTTGAACACTTTTTGTTCAACAACTATTCAGAGATTCTTTTTCGTTTTCGAGTTATTTGCAAAAGAAATATTTAGGGGCCAACCCTTCAACTCCCTAATGGGGACGTTTAGCGAAAAATAAAAGGTTCCATATTGTTCAGAAGATGATTTTGAATATCTTTTGCTCAATATTACTTTTCAAAATATTTCTCATTTTCGAGATATAAAGCGTCGAAGATTTAGCATTCTGGCCCCTTGTGGCCCCTAATTATGTAATATACGACATAAAAATTATAATATACAGTTGTAGATTGTTGAGATAAACATTTTTGCTTCAGTAATGTATAACAAAATATTGACTGTTAAAGAGTTATCGAAAAAAGACTTTTAGCCCCTTTTGGCCCCTAATTTGAGTGCCCAGACCCTTTTTCTTGATTTCATCTTAAAGCTCTCGGGATTTTGAACACTTTTTGTTCAAGAACTGTTCAGAGATTCTTTTTTGTTTTCGAGTTATTTGGAAAAGAAATATTTAGGGGCCAACCCTTCAACTCCCTAATGGGGACGTTTAGCAAAAAATGAAAGGTTGCATATTGTCTAGAACATGATTTTGAACATCTTTTGTTCAATATTACTTGTCAAAATATTTCTCATTTTCGAGATATAAAGCGTCAAAGATTTCGCATTCTGGCCCCTTGTGGCCCCTAATTATGTACCATACGACATTAAAATTATAATATACAGTTGTAGATTGTTAAGATAAACATTTTTGCTTCAGTAATGTATAACAAAATATTGACTGTTAAAGAGTTGTCAAAAAAAGACTTTTAGCCCATTTTGGCCCCTAATTTGAGTGCCCAGCCCCTTTTTCTTGATTTCATCTTGAAGGTCTTGGGATTTTGAACACTTTTTGTTCAACAACTATTCAGAGATTCTTTTTTGTTTTCGAGTTATTTGCAAAAGAAATATTTAGGGGCCAACCCTTCAACTCCCTAATGGGGACGTTTAGAAAAAAATGAAAGGTTGCATATTGTTCAGAACATGATTTTGAACATCTTTTGTTCAATATTACTTGTCAAAATATTTCTCACTTTCGAGATATAAAGCGTCAAAGATTTAGCATTCTGGCCCCTTGTGACCCCTAATTATGTAATATACGACATTAAAATCATAATATACAGTTGTAGATTGTTGAGATAAACATTTTTGCTTCAGTAATGTATAACAAAATATTGACTGTTAAAGAGTTATCGAAAAAAGACTTTTAGCCCCTTTTGGCCCTTAATGTGATGAGTCAGCACTTTTTTTACGAAAACATATGAAAGATCTTGTCATTCTGCACAAATATTGTTCAGTATGTTTTAACAAAATAATTATACTTAAAACGTTATGATGTAAAATGTCTCAAAAATCACTCATGATTTGTGTCCTAAATTTTGACCCCTACCGAGCTTCCATACTAGGTACTTCCGGAAACTATCCAAACTCCCAGTAACATGGGGATATGTCCTCTATCATCACTGAAAATTTCAGCGCTCTAGCTCAAACCCATCAAGCCATCTCTGAGAAATCTTCTGCACAAAATTTCTGAGATCAATCTCGTTGCGAGCAACGGACAAGAAGGTCCGCTAAATTTTAATAAAAGGGCGATAACTCTAAACCGGAAGTGATTTTCAAAAAATCCAAAAAATGGTATAAACTTCAGATCATTCTGCAACAACCCTGAAAATTTGAAGCAAATCCATCGAGCCATCTCTGAGAA